TTTCCCTTTTCAGTGCAGATCCCCTTAAAGAAAGAAAAAAGCATCCGTTTCATCTCTACCCAAAGCTGCTCCAGCAAGCTTAGAAAGATTTGGGGGAGACAGGATGATCACAAGCAGCCTGGCGTGGTATTTACAGACCAGTGGCTACATAGGTTTTCCCTGCTTGTTCCTGCCGAGTTCTGGAGCATTCCTTGAGGGGATGCTCCAGAATGATTCTTTTGGCAAAGGCTCAAAGGTTGGGAGATGCTAACATCTCAGGTGTTGCTTATTCACCATGTGGGGCAGCTACGTATTTGAGCTGTTGTTTCTGTTCTGATTTCAGAAGCAGGCCTTAACACGAGGCATTTGGGAATGTGCATTTACAGTATACCAGCAACATTCACTTACACACAGACCTCTCTGATGTTGCATTCAGCTGACACTCAAACTAGAGATAGCAGCCCCACTATCATGCTGCCTGCGTATGGTTTCTTTCTCTAGCCCTGCTCTCTGCTTGGACACCTCTTTATCCAGAAAAGGACAAACGAAATCAAAAGGTATGAATAAGAAAGGCTGCTTCCTGCTAAATATTACAGCTTCTTTTTCAAGACGGTAGATCAGTGTTTCTCAAAGCCTGCTGTAGATAAATTGAATGTTATTCTTGCATGCGTATTTTTAGTATGTACCTGCACTTAATGAAGTTGATAGGCATTTCAACCTTACTTGCACCCAAAGTCTACATCCTCAGAGCTTGTCCAAAGCAAGGGCAGAAAGCCATGAATATTGGATATTGCTGTTCATCAAAAAGCAGCACTTTAATTTCATGAAGTTTGATCAAATTATGTTTGATCCTGACTTTGGGGACAAGAAAGTTAATCCCTGCCTCCATCTTATCCTCTCTGCTTCTCTCTCTATATACTGAAGGTATATGCCACGCAGATGTCTTAATAGGGCACTTTAGCTCCAAGGACATCTGTTATGCTTCTTTTGCCATATGTGATTGACCACTGTCTGCATTAACTTCTATATTTGCTGGCAGGGAGGTCCCGCTACCTCACTAGAGAAGGAGGAAAAAAAGCATCCTGTTCTAAAATTCCAGAAACCCTTTCTAATCTCTTTTTAGGTTATGGGTACACATGTGGAGCTTCTTCATCTCGGTCTAACACCCTCCCCTCTCAAATGTGATGTTCTAAGTTAGCCTAATGCCCTCCAGATATGTCAGGACTATAACTCTCAACATTCCAAGTCATTTGGAATCAGTATTAGATTGAGAGATCAAATGAAAAGATTTTCCAGAAACTTGAGATGAACAGACCTTTAGTAGTGCTGTATGATCTATTCCAGCCTAATCTGCCCCTGAATAACATACACAGAATTCAAGAGCCATGCTGGATTAGATCAAAGGCTCTTGCAATGGCCAGCCAGATGTTTATGAAAAGCCAACAGGCAGAGCATGGCCACAACATTCCCCGGCAAATGGTTATTCAGAAGACACTCATCCAAACCTGGAGGTCTAATCTAGCCCTCAGGAAAAGCAGCCATAGCCTCCATAAATTTATTTTTAAAACCATTCAGATTGGTAATTCTGATAATAAATTTCAAAATTTAACTGTGTGAAGAAATATGTCCATAAGTTTGTTCTGAATCTCCCATCTTTTGGTTTCCATGAAAGTGAATGTGGAATCAGAAATGGTAGAAAGATGAGATTCAAGAAAATTTCTCCCTGTTTACTTACTTCACACCATGCAAAATGTCTTTACCTCTATGTGAATTTACCTTTTTCTCAAAAATCCAGAAAACCTCTGGATTTTTGGTTCCCTTTCCTGCATCTGAACAGGACTGTAAACAGCATTCATACATACATACTGTAGATTCATACAATGGCATTAAAATTAATTTATCATCTACGTTTTTTGGCTAGCAATTCCTTATATGTTGGTTTTTACCCAAAAGCATAGCCAGATATCATTATGTATGTGAAATTTGTATTTTTCACATTTATTTTCACTAAACTGAACTGACTGAATTTGCCATTTTAATCATTCCAAATTTGAAAATATTATTTTGTTTCATTATTTTATTATTTGGAGCATATTTATAAGGCCACTCAACTCAGACAATGTAACTCTGGGTGGCAAATTCTTTTGGAGTGCATCAATATTCCCTTTTGATTAAACTCACCTAAATAATTTGGTGTTGTCAGTGTTCATTCAATAAACGTAACTAAGCAATACCTGAACTCACTGAAAAAGAATCAGGTTGTGTTTGTATACAAAAATGGAATATAACTCAGATCAAGTGGGGTTAATCCAGCCTGGTAGCAGGCCTCTTGCTAATGTTGAGATTTTGATCAATTATCCAAGCAGTGCAGTTTTTGTGGAGGGAGATATAGAAGCTTGGAGATATGAAGGCCCAGCCAGGCCCAGAACCTTAAAAAGAGAGCCAATATCATCTGGTAAAAAGGTTCTGAACTTGAATTCTCTCAACCCAGCCTACTTCATAGAGTTGTTGTAGGGATAACATTAAGGGACAGCTGCATGAGAACTACCTTGAACTTCATGAAAAAGGGCAGAATATAATACACCCAGCAAATACATAAACAAATTTAAAAAGGGCTGATGTATCCTGTCATAAGTTAGTTATTAGGACCCTCCAAGGTCATTAGATGACCTGAAGCTGGTTCAGACCCCACAGATTGCTTGGGACCTATAGGGAAGAAGAAGCCAAATGTCATCCAGGCAGTTTTATATGCCATAATGATATCCAGCTCCAGAAAATAAGGGGTGGATGTTCCAGAAAATATCATAGTACCTGACTTTGCAGAGCCATCAAAGGTGAACAAGGGGCACCCTATTTTCAGCCCTACACTTCCTGCCCCAAATGCAAATACTCCCCCCCCCCACACACACACATTTTACTCTTTCATAGTCCTTTCAATCAGTATTTATCTTAATTTCCCATGTTCCAGTCTAATTGCTAGAGTTGCTTATTGCTCCAAAATCAAGGAAGGCTACTTTGCCATTAACTTATTGGCAAATGTAGTGAGATCACTTTTTACATTCCGACTCCAAGCAGTGCAAGGCAGGGGAAGACTGTGGACAGAATTCTGAACACCACTGTCATGTGGTGGAGAAGGTGTTAGATGAGGACTTGAGAGGCCCAGGTTCAAGTCCTGCTTCAGCCATGGAGGCCTGATATTTATCTGCCCAACCTATCCAACAGGGTTTGGAAGGGACTTCTTTTGAAGATGCAAACATGAGAAATTAAGAAGCAAGGAAACAAAACAATCCTATAATGAAATCAGTTATGTTGTTACAGTCACCCAGAGTTGTTGGGAGTCAGGTGGATAGAAGTTTAATAAATTATGATGATGATTATGATTATGTCACTGGAAAACTTCTAAATGCAGGATTGATAGAACTAAAGAGTGATGATGGCAATGCCACAGCACTTACCTGGATTACATCATGCTTTCTGATATCTAATAGAGCTAGAAGAACACAGCCCCTCAGCTCACCTGTTTAAGTTTCCACCCCTTAGGCCAGTGTTTCTCAACCTTGGCAACTTTAAGATATGTGGACTAGAACTCCCAGAATTCCCTAGCCAGCATGCTGGCTGGGGAATTCTGGGAGTTGAAGTCCACCCATCTTAAAGTTGCTAAGGTTGAGAAACACTGCCTTAGGCAGCATTAAGAATGGCTCCAGATTGCACCCTCCCCACAGGTCTGGAACCAGCTCTAGCCCTGTGGGATTTCACAGCATTAGATGGATTTTTTGAAGGGTGGGGTTCCATTGCAGTTTATTTGAAACCATTTATTTGTATTTTCTTTGCAATGTGGTGGCTCTGCTGAGCTTCTAGGTGATCTATTGTCATCTAGAGATTTGCCAAACACATGCAGAATCTCACATCCCCTGAAAAGTGTTTTGTACATCTCTCCTGTTTTCCCAATTGGTGGGAACTGTTGCTTCATTCTGCCCCCTGACCCTTGGATTCCAACCACTATTTATTATTTATTGATTAGATTTATACCTCCCTCCACGGAAATTCACCTGGGCCTGCTGGTTATACTGTAATGTATTTCCCTGGAACTCAGAATGATGCAACTATAACTACTGCGGCAATTGGAGCACGCACCCATTTGCAAAATGGCTAGCGTGCCATAATTTCCTCGCAGATTGCAACCCTTTTATAAATGCTTTTAGAAAGATGGTTTTAAGACTCCAAGGACTCCAGAGAAAGATGGTTTTGCGCCCAGTTTCCCGCACAGTAACCCCCGAAGGGTGGCATTTTGTTTTGTTTTGCAACCAACCTAATGCACCCATGAATTAAAAACAGGGTTGGAAGTGAGGATGTGAACAGCTTTCTTCTGCCTGGTGTGGGGATTTTTTTTGGTGCTCCAAGGCAGGTGGCAGCTCCACCCGTGCAAAATGAATGATGTCCTGGCACTCTCAGCTGTACAGGGCACTGATTGGCTCATGGGGTTTTCAGCATTTTGGGACTGGCAGAAGATCCCTCTATTTCCCTGCTCAACTTTGGGCCCTCCCTATGGAGCCACCGTTCGCTGTTGGCTTCTAATCACTGCTTGTTTTGGACAAGCCGAGCCAGTAGCATTGCACTGGCCATGCCCCTAAGCAAACTATCAAAGGAGCTTCTCCACTGTCTTTTTTCCACCTCACCTTCGTGCATTATAGCGGAGAAAGCTGGGTTAATTCACGCTGCAGGTAGACGGAGCCGACTGTTCCCTTCCGGATGTACCTCAGACCTCGAATCCTGTGCTTTGGCTTGCTCCGTGCAATGTGCGGGTAGTTCTCTAAAACCAACTAAACTGTAACTCTAGGGAAGCTCCCGGTTTATCTCAGTTAAATATTTATTTCATTGTAATAATTCTTCCAAGGTCGACGTTAAAGAAGAGAACGGACTTTGGAGGGAATGTTTAATCTGCTCACAATTAACCGAAGCGTCGCGTCCCTCACCCCGCAAACAAGTCCGAGCCAGTTACTCAAGCGCAGTCTGCCCCCGCCCCCCTTTTCTCGCTCTCCGTAGCTACCATCCGAAGGTGCATCGGCAGCGAGCAACAGATGGAAAAGGCAGGGAGAAACTAGGCGAGGAAAAAGTCTTTATTGCGGCGCAGCACAACACCCGGACGCCGGAAGACCTTTCCCGGCTCAGCTCCGGAACGCTGCGCAGCCCGTAACTTTTCAGAAGAGCGACGAGGAGGAGGAGGGAGGAGATAAAGCGCTCCGCTGTTTAGGAGCGGGGGTGGGGGGCGTAGTGGGAGAGTGGAGGTGACTTGATTTCTTCCGTAGCCAGAGTTAGGGTGCTCCAGCTGGCTGGACGAGTCCCTCCCCGCGGTGCAGGCGGCGCGCTTCCCCCCTGCCGGTCCTCCTTTCCTGAATGGGGTCTCCCCGGAGGAAGAGGCTCTGCCTTTGGTTCCTGATAGGATTAGCGCTCTCTGTCATCTTCCTCGGACACTACTACACGGCGGATTCGCCCGTCTGCCCCGGCACTGTGGCCAGGTAAGAAGACTCGGAGAGTCTGAAAGGGAATCAGGAAGGCTGGAAAAACTCTAACGCTGTTGGTTGCTGGAGTACGAGCCTGCTCGGAAGCGAGGGCAGCCCCCCGGCGTTGGGTAGGACGAGCGACGGTGGGAAACAAGGTATAATTCATTTTCTTGAAAAAGAAAACCAACCAACGCACACGCCTGCCACTTAGCAACCCTGTGGAGAACAAAGCGTTCAAGGCGGCGTGGAAAGCGGGGGAGCTACTGACGTTCCTCACCCGCTTCCACTTTTCTAAAGGAAAACGTTAAAGTTTCAAAGTAGTCGAACTCATAATTCGGAGGACCTGTTTCGTGTTTTCCTTTTAAGCTAAACCGTTTTGAATGTAACTGTAATGGGCCTTCTCCAGAGCCGATGCCCTGCAGATGTGTCTGGATTACAGCTCCCAGAATTCCCAGCCACCATGGCTAATGGCCCACACTGGCTGGCAACTGTAATCCCAGCATATCTGGGAGCAGCAGGTTAGGGACAGGTGTGGTAAGTGTCAGAATTGCCTTCTCATATTTGAGGTCTAGCCCTGAGCAAGTAATACGTTCCATACTTTGCTTGTAATCAAGAGTCCATTAATGTAGGTAGAGAGGTTGCAGATGGACTTATTGCTAAAAAGCTTTCACCTCAGTGTTGGGAAATGATGCAGAAATTTAATAGTGTGCATCATTGATTACTTCAGACATATTTTGCAGGGGCCTGTTTTAAAAATCAAGAAGAGTTTAAATTTATATTTAGATAGCCCATTTCCTCTGAGATTATTGTACTGTGTATCCTCTTACACAAGATTTTGAATTTTGAAATGAGTGGAATAGATGATCCAACATATTTGGGGATCACTCAGAAGGAAAAGCTGAGTGGTCTATTGAGGTTCCTTCTGGACATGGTAGTCATGTCAACTGGTTTTCCTCAACTCTTTAAATGACAGTGCCCATCTCTTTACTTACTCTGCATAACACATACTTTCAATTAAATAAAATAAATGTTTATGAAATTAAGAAATGATTAATATGTTATGTCATACCCACATGGAGACGTAAGAACCAGTCTTTCCTTCGTTCCTGCCAAGACAGCATATGGAAGCAGTGTCCACTCTGATTCCTACCCACATTCCAAAGTAGGATATAATTCCAAAAAGTGTTACTTTTTTTAAAAAGAAAGGTTGTCTGTCTCTCTCTCTCTCTCTCTCTCTATATATATATATATATAGAGAGAGAGAGAGAGAGAGAGAGAGACACATATATTCTAGACATTAATAAAACACAAGTCAAATAGGTAGTTTAAACCTTTATATAGTTCTCCCCATCCTTTAGTTGAGCCTTTTATTCTCCAGATCTAGAAAAGCTTTCTGCTCCTGAAAATACATTCAGGGAGGGAAGTAGAATGCATGCTCCCATTCTTACAAAATATACTTGTAACATAACCTATCTTAAGTCCTTCCTGGCTGCAGTCCAGTTGTGCAACTGCTTACAAGACTTGGAACATGGTTTCAGCCTGTCTTATGAAGGGAAATAACTACAAAAACAATACAGTTAGTCCTCAACTTATGACCATTTGTTTAATGACTGTTTGAAGCTACAACAGTGCTGAAAAAGTGGCATACGACAGGTCCTCGCACTTATGACCATCTCAGGATGCCCGCAGTCACATGATCAAAATTTCGGCACTTGGCAACTGGCATGGATTTACAATGGTTGCAGCATCATGGGGTCACATGATCACCATTTGCAACCTTCCCAGGGGCTTCTGGCAAAAAAAGTCAATGGGAGAAGCGGATTCACTTAACGACTGCATGATTTGCTTAATGACTGGTGATGCACTTAACAAACTCTGCAAAAAAGGTCATAAAATCGGGAGCAACTCACTTAACTACTGCATCACTTAGTGATGGAAGTTCCAGTCCCAATTGTGATTGTAAGTTGAGGACTACCTGTAACACAAAACAATCTGATATTTAAGGCCAACCTAGACAAAATTGCAGAAGAGTATTTCTGATACAGTGTTCGAATTCTGTACAAAAAATGCATGAGCAGTACTGGAGAAAGTCAGTGTAGTTTTGTCTGTTTGCCCAGGAAGTACCTGTCTTTGAGAGCAATTCAGCTTTCAGACTTTGTCATATTTGTCCTGTACAGTTTCCTTAGTTTTCTTGGAAATAGTCATTTGTTGGCCCAGACACACTATGGAGAGAAATGTCTAAGATCTTCTAACACATTTGTGTCATAGATTCTTTTGTTCTGAAGTTGTTGTCCCCCTTACTTGAATGGACTTCTCCTTGTGGTTCAGGAGAAATTGAAACCATCATTCATGTACTGCTGTATTGTAATTTTTATAGGGATCTAAGGAACTCATTTATTCTACCTATCTTGCAACAACATCCCAGATAGGCAGATCTTTGATGCGCAAAGTTTCTACGTTTCTGATTCTAATGATAGCATCGCTAATATTGTGGCCAAGTGTTCCGCAGCAGCAGTCAAGACATGTCATCAAATAACATGACCCTGGTTATCATATATTTAACTGTTTTTATATTCTTTTATATGCTAGTGGGATATGGACTACTGATCCTAATGAGGATGTAAAATGAAGTGCACTGTTGCTGGGGTCCAAAAGAACTTTATGAAAGCCTTAATACTGAGATTTACTGATCATTCAGTGACATCTAGGAAAGATGTGTGTATCCTATCAAAACCAAGAAAGTAGTACTGGGAAACATTATTCCATTAATATCTTGATAATACTTTTATGCAGAATCTACAGTATTGGAAAAAAATACTTTGCAGTCTTGTCTGAGTGGGTCAGTGCTTTGATTGTACCATATAGGCTTTCTGTGAAACAGAAGGGAAGGAAGAGATTGTTCCTTTTCCCAGGGCATCATAGTTTGATAGAACCAAAAGGAATTCATGATTCTTTTTTCAATATAAAATGAATTCTGCATTTTAAAATGTCATCTAAGTTCATAATATATTGGAATCTTTGGTTCCCTCTCCTCTTCTACTTCCCTCTTTTTAAACTGTTCTTAACTTTTAGTAGTAAACAAACTATCAAGGAGATAACTGGATTTCAAGGCTGTAATGCATAATCTCTTTATAGAAAAGTTACAGAGAAGCAACATGACACGTCTCAGAAGAATGGTGAAATCAAACATAGTATTTGAGAGCAACCTTGCTATAATTAAGCTTAAAGTATGCTACATTGAATGTGGGCAGAGAATACAGTAGCTTTGCAGACCTCTGTTAGCATCCATTGCAGGACTAATGCTTATTTACTTTCTCCAGGAAAATGAAGGACTTGAAGCAAAGAGCAAGGCTGGACAACTGATCCAGCATCTAAAGCAGTGAACATTACATCTGAAATGCAGGTTGTGCAGGCAGGCTCTGTTATAGGGTTGAAATACTGCTAAATATTCATGTTCAAGCCATGCTTGGTTTAGTAGTCTTCTCATTTTGTTAGCGGTTGTAGTAATTGTTGTTTTTGGATTACGTAGTACTCTCTCCTTTAATCTTAACTCCAGTAAAACAACTTGTGAAATAAGTCAGGCTGAATGATAGCGACTGGCCCAAACTCACCACTGGGTTTCCCTGGGTAAGGATGGACTTGAACCTGTCTCACCTTATGCCCAAACCTACATGGCACAGGGCCTGGATATTTGCAGGACCATCTGTCTCCAGTTATCTCTGCCCATCCTACAAGATCTGGCAGGGCTGGTGTGTTCCAGGTCCCATCAATTGAACAGTATCATCTGATGGGACTCAGGAGGGAGGCCTTCTCAGTTACAGCACCTGCCCTGTAGAACAGCGCCTCACCCCAAGTTTCAGCTGTCCCTAACCATGCCAGCCTTTAAGAAGGCCCTGAAGACGTCGTTCTCCCCCCAGGCCCTGGGTCAGGATGGGATGTGAGCTCTTTGGTTGTTTTGTTCACGAGGTGGTATGGTTTTATAATTCCATTGTTGTTCTTACATTGTGACTTTTTAAGCCTTTCTTGTTAGTTTCCCAGAGATGCTTGGTGAATGGGCAACCATATCAATTGAATTAATAATTAAAAGAATAAATAAAATAAATTACTCTTATCACCCCTCTACCTTTCAGTGTCATATTTTAAAAAAATCTATTGTAATAATGTCACAGCAAAAGAATGTATTTGTCTTCAGTGCTGTTGTGTTATATTGAAGTTTAAGAGTTTATAGTGAAGTTAAGCATTAGGAGAAAAAAGGAGAAAGTGAACTGTTTTCACCCTTTCTTTTTTTAAGTCTGAACTTTTGAACTGAAGAAGCCATACAGATTTTGCTAGGTCTTTCAGAGCTTTCATATTAAAACCTTCTGATTTTTTTCTCATAAACAATTCATGATGGATGAAGAAAGTTTGGCTCAGAATTTCAGCATTGCCTGATGACTTATTTGTAATTCTTCATTTTTGCTGACAAAAGTTCTGCTTTCCATCTCAGTTCCAAAAAAGGAGTTTTCCATTGTACACTGCATACTTAAAAATGTAGAAATCATTGCTATCCGATGTGGGGATGGTGGCCAGTTGAAATAGTTTTAAAAGTAGCTGGACATATCAAGGAAAAATGATCCGCTACTTCTAGAACAAACTTTTCAGTAGCAGCCCTCCTGTCCCTGTTTGTGAGCTTCCTAAAAGCATCTGGTTGGCAATTGTGTGATACCAGATGCTAGATTAGATGGGCCATTGCCTTAATGCAGCCGAACTCTTATTGGAGGAATTATAGAGGGGAAGGTCTACTTTAATTTTTTCTTAACACTTTTTCCCCCTTCTGTGGAGTTCCACATGTAAAAGTTATCTATAACAAGAATCTTGCAAATGCAAAAAGCAACCACAGTAAGAGGGGGAACTTGGGGTAGAAAAAAAACCCTGCAGAAGCCCATTTCACAGAAGGATAAATGGTTGAAATTAACAAGCAAGTAATTTTTCCCAAATCTTGACTGCATTGCTAAAGGTATTGGCTAAGCACCCAT